CCTCTTCTTTATATACTGAATCTTGTCATCGTCCTCTTCTTTATATTGTGAATCTTGTCATCGTCTTCTTTAGACTAAAAAAGAGTTCACTCTCTTAATTTTTTTAATCATGAAAACACCATATATATATATATATACAGTATACTTGAATAAAAAAGAATATAGAGCACATAGTCATTTTGAAAATTTATAATTTATCCACCAAACAACACAACTCCATATTAATCTATATTCCAAATAAAAATAAAAAGTGAAAATAAAGGGAAAAAACTTTTAAAATACACCAATTATATAAGATTTGCTATAAAAACACCTAAACTTTTTCAGCTCCCATAAAAATACCTCAATTATTAATTATTTATCTTTAATATCCAGACTATTAATCACACTCTTTTTAATACACAAACATTTGAATTTCATATGTTTATACTGTGAAAACCCAGTTTTACCCTCTTTAATTTTTTAGGTTCGATTAAATCCAGTGTAATTAGAAAAAAAAATTTATAGTTTATAATAACTTGAAAAAAACTATTATCTCTTCCATCGTTGAATCTCTCTCTGCAAATTAATATTCTCGGTTTGATGAATTTATGTGTTTATTTCTGTTTAATAACAAAAATCCTACAAGAAAGAAGAAATATCAGTGTTCATAGATAAAAAAATTTCATGGCTTCTTTGTTGTGGCTTTTTTCTTTTAAATAACTCAAGAACACATTCAAAGAAAAGCAAAGTGTTCTTGTCATCAATCCAAAGAGTCATCGATTTTCCAGGTTTAAGACGAGATGGATGGATCTGAGGTCATGATTGAGTTTAAGCTATTTACATCTAACCCGGTATGAATACTACTCAGATCTTTCAAATAAAGATCTAATTTGGTGTCAAATTTGATGCGATTAAATGATTTTTCATCGGCTGAAAGGAATTGACGAGACTTAAAAATTTCTTAAGATGTCGTAAACGTGGGAGAGGAAGAAAGAAAGGTATGTCATTAGAGGAATCTAAGAGTCGGAGTCGCAAACATTGACGGTTCTCGTTGCTTTCTTCGCCGGAAATAGCAGAACCTCCTCATAATTGAATAATTTGTTTTTATGTTTTTATGTTTTTATAAATTATGTTTTTTAAATTACATAAATCGAATCTAAGAAATAGAAAAGGGTAAAACTGGGTTTTCAAAAATATTTTTTTGTAAAATTATGAAATTCAAATGTTTGTGTATTAAAAAAGTGTGATTAATAGTCTGGATATTAAAGATACATAATTAATAATTCAGGTATTTTTATGGGAACTGAAAAAATTTATGTATTTTTATAGCAAATGTTATACAGTTGATGTATTTTTAAAGTTTTTTTCCTATGGTAGTTTTCTTAGATTTTAGGGCGATCAAAAGGTAATCTGATGTGCAGATAACTTTATCCGGAATCGATAAGACGATAACTATATAGAATTTTAATACGGACAAGAAACAGATCAACTAAAAGAATTTGTAGGGAAATATGTGGTTTGATCAAGGTACCGTGGAAATGTATTAAAAAAAAAAAAATCTTTTGATGAAATGTTGTTTATCCACGCGTTATGGTTATGCACTCAAGCATAAGTTATGCCTGTCAATCGTTTTCATAACAACAATGACAATTATATCGGATAATTATATTAAGCATTGAATTGTTTTCGAAGGTGAATATTGACATTTTCCGGTAATTATTGTGACAACGATAACGAATTCATAAACGAAAATTAATGGCCGGTATACAAGAAAATATTAAATTTATTATCAACGAGTACCCTACTATACAAGTATACATTAATAAAAATTATTATAGTACGCTTTCTTCGGTAGATACGCGCTTAAAGCGAGTGAGTAAAACAAGAAAGGGTGGGAATTAAGTGGAAAGCCGAGCCTCACAGAGTCACATAGACCAGAGTTTACGTTTAATTTGATCCTTTGAAACAATTACATTCACGTCTTAGTTTAGTGTATTTAGTAAAAGAATTTCAGAAAGATCGTGTATTCATACGTATACAGACTCATAATGCCATTTGGTACTACAAAATTTCATCGTAGTGTTATTAGTGATAATTGGTAGTGAATATATTCATACGTTAGTTTGATGATATATATTTCAATATAGTATTAAAATGGTATATAATTTTATATTAGCTGCCAAAAAAAGCAGGCAAAAAAAAGGAGTAAAAATTGAACTATGACGCGTGTGAGACAGTGGGACAACAAGCCAGTACCGGGTCCTCCACGCCACGCCGGTCCACTGCCTCAAACATCCCACGGTAGATGCTATTTTTGTAATAAATGAGAATAACAAACACTATGCTATTAGCCTGTTATATATACGTCTAACATCTTCGACAAAAAAAAAATATATATATATATATACATCTTCGACAAAAATATATATCTAACATCAAAATGAAAATCGACTGTTTTCAATTATACGTGCCGGTCTGACGTCTGAAGATAATTTACAAAATTTTTAAAAACGTGTTTTTATATATTATTTGAAATCAAAAATAAGAAAAAATCACTCTAATCTTATAAACTGTTTGTTAAAAAACTATGAAAAGAAAATGTTATTGTTGAAATATGGTTCTTTATACATTTTTGTCTAGCATAATTATTCATTGAACATCATTATTTTTTTACATATAAAGATTAATAAAGATATAACCAAAATGATGTTCCAAAAAGTGAATAAAGAAGATATAACAAATTGTTTAACTAAATATCTCTTAATTAGTAAATTTGGATGGCCTACTTGGAAGCTCAACTAGTTTATGTTGTGGGTTTTGACTCAATATGTTTTGTTACTCTTTTGAATTATATGGATACTTTTTTCTTGTACAATATTCATTGACTGAAAATATTCATTGACTGAAAATCGCAGTACATTTTAAAAGATATAGTTTGATATTACATAAGCTTGATAGCAAGGAATAATGTTTAATACAATCGCATAGGAGCCACAAATCAAATATCATACTGTGGATTCAAACCATTAGTTTACTTTTTCCCCCTTTTGATCACCCACTTTTTTATGTTAATCAAGAGAAGAAAACCTAACATATATGGTACCAACATGTCATGGAATTTACAAACCTGTAAAATGACTAATTTAATTCGTAAAAGTATTCTGAAAAAATAAATCACATCTTAAGGGAAAAGTATATCAAAACCTAAAATTAGACGTAAAAGACCCCTCGAAATTTTATGATCACATACGACCATTTTGGAATATAATTGTCGAAGATACACCATAATATAAGATTTCATCTTCTAAAGTACAATTGAGAAGGCATATACTATAAGATATGTATACTATATCACGATTAAAAAGCTTCTGAAACCAAACAATATTAAGGAATCGTTAAAAAGTTTATCATCCAGAATCTGTTAAATAGAACTATTAATAATACCAATGAGTTACTATTTTATTATTTCACACATATATTTGTTTCCATCTACCAATAGAATAGTGGCATTTTATTCCACAACAAAAGTGGGCTTTTCATTCAGGTACGGCTTGTATTTAACTTAGTAATTTATTTTTCCCCTCTGATAAGTCATTTTCGCCAAACAAAATACGAGACAAATTAATGATTATAGTGTTCATTTTTCTTTTTTGAAAAACTGTTTCTATTTAAGTTACGGACCTACACATTTCCTTTTAGAGCTTATTTTATATTATATTACAATCTTATTATACAAAGTACAGTATTTAGAAAGTCACCTTAAAATATCCATTTAATTGTAATTTCATAAATATACTATATCAAAAAATATTAGACATTCATTTTGTATAACTTTAGAATTATCTTTTAATTTACTTTAAAAAGCAACTATTCCTTTTAAAATTGGTATACACCTTCTAATGACATCAAATTAGTTTGAATATAAGTTTGTTTTAATGAGGTTTGAAAATGAAAATTATCTTGACGTCAAAATGATTAGGTCATAAAACACTCTATCCAGTCTAATTCCATTATTCACAAAACACTCTTTCCTTTTAGAACACTCTATGCTGTAGTCAAATTCCATTATTCACAAAGTGACAGCCTATCCAGTCTAACAACATCAACATGAACACGTCTTATAACGAATCGGCTTAAAAATTTGTGACAACTGGAAATTTTTATCTAGTGTATAACTATTTATATATGACTAAGAAACTGCTGCAACCTTTTTCTATAAAGTGAGCATAGCCTGATTTGGATTACTAACAACAGTTTTAACAATGGATATAGATGCTCAAGTTTTCCTTAATGATTATAATTTATAAAATATTACATTTTTATAATGCTTCATTTTTCTGTTATCAACCTAAATTAGCTAGGCTGGTAATATATTGTTAAATATTATTTCATAAAACACGTCTATTTTTAAAAGACTATATATATATATATATAATATTAGAGTATTTTTTAGAGTCAATTAAGCAGATAACCATATGTTGATTTTTTCAGTTTTTCTATTTAATTTGTATTGAATGGTAAGATAAAATGTAAATTAACTATAGTTAACATTTTAAGTTAATTTTTTTCTATCAGTGAGAGGAGAGCAACTAAAAGTGTTTTACCATATTTATCAGACTTTTGGTGAACTGTAATCAAAGTGCAACTGTCAGTGAGCTTGATTTGCTTGAAATCAAACTATGTGGTTTAAATGTTGTGGACCTTTTAATGGGTTAAAAATAACTAAAAGCCATCCCTTTTGTAAGAGGATCTAATTAGGGATAAAATCAAGATCAAGCTAAAAAGATTCCATACTTTTTTTACCATTTATATCCTTGTAAACATTTCGAAATTACAATTCAAAGCCATCGACTTAAATTTCCAGCTTCGCTCCCAACCTCTTTCTGATTCATCAACATATATGCATACAACATATATCCAGACACCTCTATATACACATACGTATATATATATATATATAAATGTTTTACATAAAGCCTTTATAATTGGGTTGAAGCTTACGCAGTCTCACATTTAAGCAACCTTTCTCTTTCTCTCTCTCTCTCTCGATTTCTCTGATTCTCTTTCTCTGAGAAATCTCAGTTTCAGAGCTCAGGTTCTTTATTCTTCGTCTTCTTCTTCTTCAAGTCGATTTTATCCCCAAAATCTGCATGCTCGATTCTTCGATCTGCATCCATCTCTTTTATTAATTTCTCCCTGAAATAATTTTTTTTGGGATCAAATCAAATCTCCGGAAGATAAATGTGATTCGGAGATTGTGATCGGAGATAAAATTTTGACTTCCCCGGAGTGATATCGGAGAAGATAATGCGGGTAAAGGAGCTTCATCCTCTCTGCTGTATCACTCTGGAGAGTCCACACGTTCTCGATGAGAAGTCGCCGGCGAATTTGACAAGGTCGAGGAGTCTTCCGGCGACGTCGTTAACCGTTGGATCCGACCGGAAAAAGATGACATCGGTTGGATCGGAGGCGGAGACGGTGGCTGGGATCTTATACAAGTGGACAAATTTCGGTAAAGGATGGAGATCTAGATGGTTCCTCCTCCGCAACGGAATCCTCTCTTACTCTAAGATCCGGCGACCGGAGAATTTGAATCTACTCTCTCCGTCGGAAGATGTGAGGCTAATCGGAAATATCTCCGCCGATCGTCTCTCCAGGATGGATAGTTGCAGTGGTCGCCGGAAACAGGAGAAAACCGTCGGCATTGTTCATCTCAAGGTATACAATGAGAAAAAACCCAATTTTTGATTTTTGTAAAGTTTGGGTTTTTAGTGATTTTGATAGTGGAAAAGTTTTGGTTTTTTTCCACCTGAGATTATCAGTTTTGATGATTTTTTTCGATTTCTGTTCTTCATTTCGTCATTAAATTTTTTGCTACCCCAAATTCTGAGTTTTTTGGGGAAACGAAACGGCTTTTTTATCATCACTCATAGTTTAAGGAAAGAACCAGAGGTTTATAGAATTGTTCTTTGTGTTCTTCACTAAAAAGATAAAACCCTAAAAATGTGATTTTTATTTGACTCTCGTCCTATCATATGACCTTTCATCATCATTATCATCAGTACCTTCTTCTTGACCGGTTTCTTTATAGTTTGGTTTGATTTTGCTTTCTTCCGTATTATTATTAATCTCGCTGAAAATTGTTTTTCCAGCTTTTAACTTGCTGTTAATCTCTTAGTGGGTCACATCAACAGGTGCTTGTTTGTTTTGAAAAATTTAAAGCTTTTGTATAATTTTATTGTTGGTTGCTACAATCTGGGTTCTTGTAGGTTTAGGGTTTTGTTCAGTGGTCACATTGTTGTTTTTTTTCTTTTTTTTTTTCAATTTGATTTCTTCAGTTCTTTATCTTTTTTTTTTCCTATTGGTTCCAAGATCAACCCATTTTGCCATCCGTCAACAAAAATTTGGATTCTCTCTATTAATTTTTGGGGTTTTTTCTTTTGAAGAAAAAGCCAAGAAGCCTATAGATATGTCAATTTTAGTCAATAGAAGTATGAACTTTTTTCAGTTGCATAACTAAAACAAGTCTATAGAATTTTGGACACTTTTCACAATTTGTTCTTTGGTTTACTTTGCCTTGCATGTGCTTGCTTTGATTTGTCTTGTTGGCAACGCTACTAAGTAAATGGATATATATACGCTTTTAACTTTTCGTTGCCATCTTTTTAACTTTGGAATTCTCATTGACTAAAGAAGGCTAGCTATATCTACACCTTTAAAGATGGTTTCATTGAAATGGGCTTATGTGTATAGTAGTATTATCCTTTATATATTCAATTATACATGTTGAGTTTTTCTTTGATATTGGACATGTTTGGTGAGTAGAATTAGTTTGTTTGGAAATAATGGAGGGTGGGGTCTTTCCAATTATAAAAAAGACCTGTTTTGACATGCTTATTGACAATGAGAAAACGATGGCTAGTTCTGATATTTTTACAGGCATATTCTTTGTTTGTTGAGCTTTCAAAATTAACATTAGCTTAATCCAAAAACTCCAAAGCTGATCCAGACACAAGCTTTAGATATTTTTTCTTCTTTTGTTTTGCTTACAGATAATAAGTTTTGTCTTTCTCAACCTCTAGATCTAACGTGCCTTATCCAGTCTAAAGTAAATTCTTCATGGGCCCAACTTGATTTTTTCCTAGTTCCAATCTGCATCTTCATACTTTTTTTATAAGTTCCATCGTATTCTTTTGAATGTTTCATTTTTATGCTTTATGTAGGATAGAGCTTTGAAATTCTTGATCCAGAAACTGATTTCTTGTGTGATTTCTTTTATAGTTGGACAAATTTGTGGTCTCAACTTTTCTTTTCTTTTCGCTTTTGTAGTTGGGATGGAGCTTGCTGATTTTCTTTGTTTTGTCTTATAATTTTGATTAAGTGAGCCTGTAATTAGATGTGTATCCTTTTATGTTTTTCTCTAGCAGGTTTCGTCTTTCAGAGAAAGCAAGTCTGATGATAGAAAGTTTTATATATTCACAGCAACTAAGACACTTCATCTGAGGACCGATTCTATAAGTGATAGAGCAGCTTGGTTACAAGCTTTAGCATCTACGAGATGCGTCTTTCCTCTCCGGTCACTTAATGGGGATTTCTCCTTCACGTCACCAAAGGATTTGTCCATATCAACTGAACGACTAAAGAAACGGTTGCAGGAAGAGGGAATGAACGAGAATCTCGTAAAAGAGTGCGAGCAGATCATGCTCTCAGAATTTTCAGAAATGCATGGACAAATTAAACTTCTACATGAAGAACGGACGAATTTGTTTGACGCATTGAGGCAGCTGGAGGTAAACTTAGTTCATTTCCATTATGATTTGCTTTTGGTTTGTTTGATCTCCTGATGCTGCTCATTCTTACCTTTCGGTTAACATCAAAGTGAAGACCAGTTTCCTGTGCATATGCCATAGTCTGCAAGCTTATATGTATGGTCTCGGTTGAGGTTTGGTCTCTGTTGTGGCTGTGCTACGGAACTGGTCTTGACTATGATGTTTGAGTATTCTAGCTATTTATATGTTTAGTTAAGATGGTTCTTGTGTTGCTTTCCAAAACTATACTCAAAGTTTAACAGCTGCATACTATATATAACTCCTTAAACCAAAAGTAATTGGTATGATTGTTGAAGAAACTTGTAAGAGTCCCTAGTGTCCCCCTTGAAGTTCAGTTCATTATAATATCATCTTGTATAACAAAGAAGGGATTGCAAAAGTTTTGGACAAATATCCATGTTTTCTCATGTTATATGGTGTGATATTGAATTGGATTGACATCTCTCATGTCCCTTTTCAGGCTACTAAATGATGTGAGCTTTCTTTTTTACAGGCAGCTAATCTCGAAGCTGGAGCATCAGGGATCGATGACAATGTCTACCAATTGACAAAACATGAATTTTCCAGCATAGGACGTGGAAAGTATAGTGGTACATACTCTAACGCTTAATCTCTCTTCCTTCTCTCTGTTCCAATTTTGCTTTCCTTTAAGTTCTAGTTATGCAAGTATATGAAGATTCTCTTCCATCAGGATCTTAATGTCTTTTTTTGTTCTTATGATCTTTCTATAATCCATTGAATGCTTTCAGCTTTCACGCATTTGCTTAATTGCATAGGCTTTCTTGGTGTGTGTTGCTTGACATTATTTGGTATTTAGAATGCAGCACAACAGCTTCATCTGATGACAAACAAGAGTTTGAGGATGTCTCTGAGGAAGATGAGCCTTCCTTCCATGACACAAAGGAGTACTTTAATGAACCTAGTGTTGGTTCTGGATCCAATCTATGTAGCTCTGGATACGCGGATATCAAGAGAAGAACAAAGCTTCCTGATCCAGCTGAAAAAGAGAAAGGTGTCAGTCTTTGGTCTATGATCAAAGACAACGTTGGAAAAGATCTCACCCGAGTTTGCCTCCCTGTGTATTTCAATGAACCAATATCATCCCTCCAAAAGTGCTTTGAAGACCTCGAGTACTCGTATCTTCTTGACCGAGCATATGAACATGGAAAATCTGTAAGTGTCCCTTTCTTATATTGTATGATCCTGTAAGTCGACCTATTCTCTTAATCTTGAAGTTGACATAAACCTGTTGGATTATTAGGGGAATGGTCTCCTAAGAGCCTTAAACGTTGCTGCTTTTGCGGTCTCTGGTTATGCTTCCACTGAAGGCCGGCACTGCAAGCCCTTCAATCCTTTACTCGGAGAAACATATGAAGCTGACTTTCCTGAAAAGGGAATTCGTTTCTTCTCTGAGAAGGTATTTTCTCTACTTTCAACTCAAAAAGTTAGGATCTGATGAAACATTAATGTCATTCTTTTTTTGGTGTTGCGTTCTTATAATAGGTCAGCCACCATCCAACTGTCATCGCTTGCCACTGTGAAGGTAAAGGGTGGAAGTTTTGGGGTGACACTAACCTCAGGTCAAAGTTTTGGGGGAGATCGATTCAAGTCGAACCTGTAGGAGTTTTGACTCTGGAGTTTGATGATGGAGAAGTATTTCAGTGGAGCAAGGTATATATATAAAGCTATAAAAGTACTACTTATTTCTTTTTGGCCCTGAAGTAACTTTCTACTTAATCTTTGTTCTTAGGTAACATCAACTATATACAATATCATACTAGGTAAACTCTACTGTGATCATCATGGGGTGATGCAAATCCGTGGGAACCGCCAATATTCTTGTACGCTCAAGTTCAAGGAGCAATCCATTCTTGAGAGAAATCCCCACCAGGTAAACAATGAATCTTAGGCTTTTGCAATGTATATATGTGACTGCTGAATAGTTGAGATAACACATGATCAATATATACATACAGGTAAATGGTTTTGTGGAAGACTTGTCAGGGAAAAAAGCTGCAACAGTGTTTGGTAAATGGGATGATAGCCTTTACTATGTTGCTGGTGATGGAGTCAGCAAGACGAAAGTCAGTGATCCCTCATCAAATGCCTCGTTACTTTGGAAAAGGACCAAGCCACCACATAATGTCACTAGATACAACTTAACCTCATTCGCCATTACCCTGAACGAGCTCACACCTGGTTTGCAGGTATAATAATATTGGTGTTATTATCATTATGTATGGTGGATTCCTGTTTCTTCTAGACTTGCTATGTGTGTAATTTCTGATCTTGTGTTATAAAATTTTGATCATGGATTTAGGAGATACTTCCTCCTACAGACTCTAGGCTCAGACCAGATCAACGGCATCTCGAGAATGGTGAATATGAGAAGGCTAACTTAGAGAAACAACGGTTAGAAAGAAGACAAAGAATGGTACACATAACCTTAACGTACTTATGGTCCATGAAAATTTGTCTGGAGTTTTGCATGAATTTTACTATTTAGTCTGTTACATTTATGAGAATTTTCATCATTATATGGTGAAGTCATGATGTTTTAAGATCTCTAGATTGCTTGCTTGGTTTCTTTGCAGTCACGGCAACTTCAGGAAAGTGGGTGGAGACCGAGATGGTTTGAGAAACAAGGAGAAAGCGAAACCTTCAAGTACACGGGAGGTTACTGGGAAGCACGAGGACACAGGAATTGGGATGATTGCCCCGACATCTTCGGGGAGTTCAAAGAAGAGTTAGTGGATTCTGCTTAAGATAAAAAAAGCTTCTCTGTTTCATTTCCAGGTAATATACTCATCCTACCAGATCTTGTACCTGCTCAAGAATATATCTCCCTTGTAGCTTTTAAACAAAGAACTTCAGAGTTTTGATTGGTTGTTTCGTTTCTTTGCATAGAATCTGCTTAAGTGAAGATTTTCATCCGGACGACATTGGAGTTGTGTTACACAGAAGAAAACGTCCCTCGACATAAATCAAAAGCCATTTTCTTCAGTTTTGTGCTTGAAAGTGGGCATAGAACAAGATCAGAAGAAAGGCTTTGGTTATACTTTTTGCAAAGGATATGTAATCTTATCTCCTAAAGATGTCCTCCTTTTGGTAGTAGAGTGTCTCTGTAAAGTCTTATCTCCTTATCTCTCTTTATCTCTGTCTCTTTCACTCTGTATCCTTCTCGTTAAATAGTTGAGATTAATGTAGGTTGGTCAATACATTTGGACAAGTTCATTGTGATCCATTTGTATTTAATTAAAAAAACATATATATGTGAGGAATAAATAAATTTAGGCAAAGACTCTTTTCCTTCAAATCTAGATTCCAGAGTTGCTACTTTGATTAACAAATTTTTTTTTTTTTTTTTGTGTGTTGCCGCTTTTATAAACCGAAGAGTCTCATAAAAAGGTAAACCAAAAATGGATTTAAACCGAAACCAAATCGAAAACCAATTAGCCGACCAAAATATCCGTCAAAGTCAAACTCTCCTCTGTTAGGATAAGCTCATATGCAGAATTTCAATTTGAATTGAGAGGAGGAAGAAGAAGCGATCGCAAAACCAAAAATGTCAGGAGTTTACGATAATCAAGCTGATATCTACTTAGACGCACGCCCTACTTATCCCGCCGATTGGTACTCCAAGCTCGCCGCTCTCTCTCACCGTCACCATCTCGCCTGGGACGCCGGAACCGGCAACGGCCAAGCAGCAATCGGGGTCCGTATTTTCTCCTTTCTCCTTCTCTTTCAATTTTTTTCTAAATTTGATTTTAACAATGCCAATCTCTGATCTTGTAACGATTTCGGCTTAGATCGCTGAGCACTACGATAGAGTCGTCGCGACGGACGTGAGCGAGACGATGTTAAATCTGGGGAAACCGCATCTGAAAGTAACTTACCACCACACGCCACCGTCGATGACCGACGACGAAATGGTGAATCTGATCGGAGGAGAGAACTCCGTCGATCTGATAACGGTGGCGACCGCCGTGCACTGGTTCGATCTCCCGAGATTCTACGCAATCGCGAATCGTCTCCTCCGTAAACCAGGAGGGATCATCGCCGTGTGGAGCTACAACACAGACATGGTGGTGAGCCCTGAGTTCGACTCGGTGATGACTCGGTTCAACGAAAAAACGACGCCGTATTATAAATTCCCCGAGTGCCACTACTTTTTGGATGGATACAAAACGTTGCCGTTTCCGTTCGAGAATGTGGGCCTGGGCTCAGAGGGAAAGCCCATGGAGCTGGAGATGAAGAAAACGGTGTCGTTTGAAGGATTCTTGCGGATGTTGAGATCATGGTCTGCCGTCGGTGCCGCGAAGGACAAAGGAGTCGACTTATTGTCGGAAAATGTAGTGAAAGAGCTCGAAACGGCTTGGGGTGGATCCGAGCTGGTTCGAACCATCGTCTACAAGACGTTTATGCTCGCAGGAACCGTTAGAAACTAGCTTAACCGCTCAAATTTGTCATAGACATTTGAATGATTGTGTTATGTTATAGTAATAATAATTAGTCACCGAAGATTATATATAAAGTTCCTGTTTAAATATTTCATCCGAAACAACAGATATGTGCATCTAACGTGAGGAACATGTTGTAATGGAACGGAACAGCCAAAGAAGTGAAAACACCATCCAAGTTTCAATTTATTTCAGGCATAAGATAAAGACATAGTTACTTAAAAAAACATATATAGTTGCATAATGAACCGATATATAGTAAGGTACGAGTTTGCTTATTTTAGTATGCATATGTGTGCACTTATTAGTTGCAGATGGCACCACCAGGTAGTGGGGTCACACGAGGACAGAGGTTGCGGAGCTGATCAAATCTAACAGTGACGTTGAGAGTTAGGCCGAGAAGATTGATTCTAGCGGCAGTGCAGGCACATGCAGACGCAAGAGCATCATTATTAAGACTAGCTAAGAGAGTGCAACATCGGTTCCCTCTGGGGTTGATGATAACGCCGATGCCAAGTATGTCGACGCAAACCTGGAGTTGGAGCCTGGTAAGAGGACACACCAGAGGTTGGGCCACCGGAGCTTGGGCTGAGGCAAAGCCCATGAAGACGAGACTGGAGGCGAGGTAGAGAGCCATGATTGTCGTCATGTTCTTTGAATCCATATTGTGAAGATGCTAAGTGAGATTTTGGTGATTATAGTTGGGAGAGATATTATTTGTATTGGAGGTGAGGCCGTGAGGGTTTGTATTTATAATGTTTAGAACCTTTAGTTAGTGACATTAAAATGTAACTAAGAGTTTTCTCTAACGTCTAGTTAAAGGTTAATTGTGACAATTACGGTTAAATGGACCTAACGATGATCTAGAACTAGACTTCATTCTAGAGGCAAAAAAGGTTTGGCAAGAAAATTTATGTTTGAACAAACACTAGGGTTACTATGGATTTTTGAAAATTTAATCAAAATTACTAAGTAACATTTTTAAGACAAACATACTAGTTGATTTGGATTTTGCTGAATAATATTACCTGCGTATTTAGTTACTTGTATAACATTTTAGATTGTGTGAAATATTTAGCATGCGTCTTTTAACAAAGAAAATTATTTAGCGCGTGTGAAATACTCTTAGAGCATATAAGATATATAATATTGTGAATGATGATTATGTATAGTAAACCTAACAGTGTAGAAATGGCGGCTAGGGGTAGCTTAAAGCGTCTCAACAATCAATAGAAGGTTTGGCGATGGATATAATGGTAAACACATGCCCATTTTAAGTCAACCTCCAAAACCCACAAGGCCACAAACTAAGTTAATCGGTCAACAATCGCGTCGACCATGAACAATTGACGATTTTTGTTATTGATTCATATTTTTTCTTTCATATATAAATTGCTTACTTCTTCGGAAGCAAACGGATGTAATAAAAAGAAACAACACTGGCGTTCAACCGTTGAAATGGAAACCATTGAACTATGATCATTTAGCTAATAACCTTCATAGACTTCTTCTATGATATATGTGTGGATATTTTGAACTTCTAATTTTGTTCTGTCAAAGTTTGTCTGATTTTTTTTTTTTTTTTTTTTTTCGTTTTGGCCTTTTCTGTGTATGTTTGGAGAGGAGTGTAGAGTAATTAGTTTTTTTTTTCTTTCGTTTTTTTAGCTAATGTGTTGGGTAATTAGTTATGGTGGCGAGCGCTTGTTTTTATAGTCTTTTAGAACGTTTTTGTAGTTGGTAAAGGATGTGATTTGAGAATTATCTAGTTGACTATACATGTAGTTAATGAACAAGAGTAACTTTTCCTACACAGAGCAAGAGTTGCAGCTCCTAAGCGATGTTAGTTTCAAATCTAAACCTCAATCTAGTCATCTATATATAGAAGAGGTTTGGCAAGGAACCTTTTTTCAAGCCTCAAAATTCTACAAAACTCACAATTTTGTTATTCCTACTAGAGACATCTTTTTCTACTATTCATTTTAGATAGGGCCATAGATAATGTGGATTAATTTGGGCATTTTCAATTAAAAAAGAAAGAATTGGTACTAGTAATGGAATTTACTAATAGTTTATGCTTTTAACACTATTCTATGTTGTTACAAGTTAAATGGTATTTTACATTTTTTATGTATTAGTCAACTATTACTCAATTAATCCTGAAATTTATGGTTATTATTATTTTTATAATAATAATAAAGTACAAACATTTAAGCATTTTGCTAATTTTCAAAATACAAGTGTCAAGTGCACCAACTATATGTGTTAAATAAGGTATTTAATAATTACTGTAGTGTGAAACATTCTAATAATATATTCAATATTTTTTAAAAAAATTGTTAGGCGCTAACAACGTGCCAAAAATGAATATTGGTAATTAAGGTATTTAAAAGAAGAAGAAGAAAATTCAAAATCCCTTGATCTAAAACCGTGAGGGCCAAGGTAATATAGAGTGAAGCCCATCCATCTCCAAGCCTAACATGAAGAGGTTTGGCAATGGAACAAAGTGCAACATAACCATCGACGTGAACATCTAAAACCCCTATAAATTTACACATAACCTCAGTTCATGTCAAATCAACAATATCCGTACAGTA